CAATAAGATAAATTAATTGTAAAAAATATTAAATTAATTGTGTTCCAAAAAATATCAAATGTGGTCTCTATTTGTAGAGAATGAAAAATTATGAATTTTGATATTTTTATTATTATTTTTTGATACAAAATATGAATGATAATTTAATTTATATAAAATGATATATGAATTTCATTATCCAATAGAAATGAGAAACATGTCCATTTAAAAAAAAATGTCTTACCTCCTTACCTTTTCTCTCTTTCTCTCTCTGCGCGTGGGGGTTGCATTTTTGACAAGAAATACAATTTAAAGCCACTCTCTTTATTTTTACGTGTGTTCACTCTCTGCCATGGCACACCTAGCAAGGTGTGCCATGGCACACCTAAGTATTTGCGATGTTTTCGATACCTTACTGTACCCGTCAATAATACAAGTTATCGGCCATTGATACGGTGCAATTATACTTAAAATATCAAATTTACGGTTATACCAGTTTGTATCTGGATCATACCGTAAAATACCGGACCAAAATACCGGCTAAAAAAAAATAAAATTTTCAAACTTAAAAAAATAAAATTCAAATTAGTAGTTAAAATGTTTTATTTTTATCTCATTGAGAAGTTGAAATTAATGATTATGGTCATTTATTTTTTTACTTTTTTACATTTGGTATTATATATTTTTATGTATATTTATATATATCATTATATTTGCTAATTCGGTAATACCACCGATATTACCGGCCCGACAGATAATACCGCGTACTGGTGGCTAGATCGGTATAACCACCGGTATTTAAAACACTGCATTGAAGTACTGACATGATTAAAAAAATCAACATATTTCATTAAAATTTAGAGAACACGGTAACATAAGTTGTCACTTGTCAACCGCTCTATAATGTGTGTAAAAAACTAAAAATACAAATAAATGGAAGTATTTTTTTATTTTTTTTTGGTTTATAGTTGGAAAAAAAAAAGAAGTATTTTTTTCAAATAATTTATTAACTTTAATGTGCTAGTATAAGTGTTTTGTTTCATTTAAGAATATAAGTCATTGCTTCAAGCAATTAAAGTATTGGATCTTCTCACTAATTGAGCAAGGTAAAGAATATTACCAAGTATTAAAATCTATCTATACTTATATTAAAAGTCATACTATTTACCAAAAATAGTAGCAAAAAAAAGTCAACTCACATTTAATGCATACTTTATTTAGAAATTTTTTACTATATGTATTAATTGCTTGCATATATACATTTCCTAATCAAATATGATCAAAAAGATTATTTATTTAAATAATTTTATTAACTTCTGCAATGATTTTACTAATATATATTATATTCATACTTGTCGATAGTATTTTTTTAACTTTTATTTGAATATATAAAAAATAAATATTTTTTAAATTAATATTTTATTTATCATTTAAAAGATAATGATCACATCAATAAATGATATTACTGATGGCTAGATAATAAATTAAAATACATTAATTATTCTTTAAAATTTTGGCATGTTATTTATTTGTATCTATACTTATTATATAAGGTATTCTATTTACCAAATTTGGTAGATTGAAAAGGCAACGTAATTAATGCATTGCTATTTCTATCCAGAATTTTATTTAATTATTTTATTTATTTGTCTTATATCCCATAAAATCAGTTTAAGAAAAAAAATCCCATAACATCTGACAAGTAAAAAAAAATACGTAAAATATTTACTAAAATAAAAAAGACTTTATTTATTTGTCTTATTCCATATTAACATCGATTTTTTCAAAATAAATCCCATAAAATCAGTGAAGTCAAAATTTGTACGTAAAGTCTATCTATCAAAAAAAAAAAAGTCAGATTCAAAATTACTTATCTAATTCCTTATTTTTCTTATATAATTCATTCTTTTTCTTATCTAATTTCTTTTTATTATCTAATTGTATGAAAATCTGTTCTGATTTTGTTCAATCCTCTAAGTGTATTTGTATTATATTCCATAAAATCGGTTTAACAAAAAAAATCTCATAACATCCGATAAGAAAAAAAACAAAGTACGTAAAATCTTTACTAAAATAAAAAGGTTTTATTTATTATTTAATTTATTATCTAATTGTATGAAAATCTGTTCTGATTTTATGGTACGTACTACAAATTGTGCATCCGTGTTCAGGAGCTACTTAACGGACAAGCTCTGTGGAAATGACTCATTTAGTGCTTCTGTCCCGTGCATACGGTATGTATTTTTATTACACATACTAGAAAATTGTGCACCCCGTGCATCGCACGGGCTCTGTACTAATAAATGACCTTATAATTATACACCTCGTGCATCACCCGTGTTCACATTTTGGCCTATTACAGGTCACGTACTATATATATCTCGTACATTTTTTTTTTACTCATTTATATCATTATAAGAATAGATAAATGGCCTTAAAATTGTGCACCTCGTGCATCGCACGGGCTTTGTACTAGTTTATGTTTAAAATTATTTCCCCACAATGTCCTCATTTACCAAACTCCATAGTTTTTAAACTCCGCCCAGGAATCGACTCGGGCAAGTTTTCGTGTCACCGAGTCAATTGTTGAACCGAATAATTAATTCATTTCTTTTTAAATCATATATAGAGTATTTCGTAAATTAATATACATAAAAGTAACAAAATTAAATGTTTTGTACATACGATTTGTACATTAAAGTCTTAATAATATGTATATATATAAATATCTACCATATAAATATATATATACATATTTAATTTTTTTAAAAAACAAAAAATATTAAAAAAATAAACAAAAAAATATAGGGATTGGGTCAACTTGGTTGACTCAACCGAGTCAATGTCCAGGGTCGACTGGGTCAAAGCCGGGTTGGGCGGGTTTTGACGGGGTTTGTTCGGATCCTTTGTTGCCTGGTTCGAATAGTCCACCCAAACCGATTCCGACTCGACCCGCCGGCCAATCCGGGTTGAAAAACGCTGCCGTTTATACAACAAGTACAATAATTTTTCTCTAAAACAAACCATTGGAAAGTCGTATCAATTTTTGAAAGTTGAACCGAGAAAAAAAACAAAATGCATAGTATGACAAGAAAAAGCCTTAATTACCTTCATAAACTCAAGAATTTGCAATACTGCAGAACAAATTGAACAAGGAAAAAACAAAGACACTTTTTTATCACCAATGAAAACTAAAATGCACAACAAAAGGTGTGACTAAAGATAGCTGTAATAAAATCTGAGATTTTCACACAACTGCTGTTTGCTTTTTTTTCTTCAAACCTTAGACATGGTGTCTGAACATCTTCTCAATTGCTCCATACATTTTCCTGCATTAGTGGGATTTTCATATTCCATCTTTGCTATGGCCACACACATATGAATCATTTCTGGTACCTGACAAGACTTTTAAGAAAACGCACCACGACGAACGGGACACAATCGTTCTTGATTTCCGAGCGTAGAAAGCGTATCTGAAAGTTTAAAATGCAAAGATCAAAAGTTTTCATCAAATGTAAAATGCCAAAAATCTGCAGCAATGGTTGATTTCGAAGAAACCTGAACCGGGTGTTTCGCATTTTCCAATACTTCGAGAAGTATTTGCATAATTTTTTTAAAGATCAAGCCCTATTCATTTTTTTCAATGATCCCATGCAAGACCAGAAGTATCAAGTAATCGGGATATTATTACCTTCTAAACACGCATTTGCATCATTTATTAGCACCGATATCTTGAGGCTCGCTTGACTTGTCAGCACTTTTCGAATCAACGCATGGGGTAAGAGGAGGAAAACTCGGGACAGCTTTCAAGATGAATTTACGCCCGGTCCGAATCCCAACTGACGAGCTCGAGCCGCTAAATTCATGCAGCCGCACATGAGGAGGTGAAACGCGTTTCTTGTTTGGTGAGCAAACTTTCACGCCATTGACAGGGGTAGAATTGTCCTTTAACATTTCTGGAGTATCATCCTGGATAACACCACTGGATAACTCACCCCCAAACTTATGATGAAGATTCGATTGTAAGTCATGATCGAAAGAATCCAGATCGAGCATTATTTCTGGAGAATTTTCACACATCGTGTTATTATTATTAATATCGTCCGAGTTCATAGGGGACCCGTGACTAATCATGTATGGTGCCACATATGTGAAATCAGTTTCGGGTGATTGGGAGTACTCTCCAGAAGGGAACCAAGATTTCGATGCATCCTTTCCATGGCTGCGTTATTTGTTGAAAGAGAAAGCGGTTTAAAAAGAGTTACCACGAACAGAATATAAATAGACTCAGAATGTCCATCATATCTAGACTCTAGGCCTGTAAACGAATCGAGCCGAGCCGAATTTGGCTCGTTAAGTAAACGAGCCTGAAATCGAGCTCGAGCTCAGCTCGTTTATCACTTATAACGAGTCGACTTCGAGCCTTAACGAGCAAACCTCAACCTTTACCAAATGAGCTTTAAAAGAGCTCGAGCTCGGCTCGTTCGAGTTGAGCCGAACTCGAGCCTTAAGCACTAGTAGAGTCAAAGGGACATTCTTGTGAGTGTGAGACTAACAGAGCCTTACTTTGAGAACTGGAATGCCGGTGTTGGAGGAGTCAAACGGTGTGCATTAAAAACCTCAGTATGGTTTACAGCCATATCAGATGCCGGCCCATCTGCTATCTCGTAATCTTCTTCACTCAACACATCTTTAATCGAGCAATATTCTGGAAGAAGAATGGATTGTACAGAGTAGAAGCAAGCAAATGTTTGTAGTTAAAGAAAATGTCTATATACAGATGCAAAGTGGAAAGGGTTGATGAAGATAATCAAAGATAAAACTACTTATTTTCATATCTTATCAGTCATTTGTGTAGAGAGAGGGAGAGAGAGAGAGAGAGAGAGAGAGAAAGAGAGAGAGAGAGAGAGAGAGAGAGAGAGAGAGAGGGAGGGAGGGAGAGAATTACCCTTCACTTTCCACCCAATGAATGAAACAGATTTTAAATGAAAGCAACATTTTCAGATCAAAGAGTAAAAGAATGCTATGGGTCAACTACGAAGGACAATAAGTTTAAATTACTAACCCTCAGGCAGAGCCACAGCAGATTTTCGAGCTACCATAACACCCTTTTGGCCAAAGACATTTTGGCATCCTTCACATCGGCATCCATCTGAACAGCCAACTTTTGCCTGCTCAAAATGAAATCGTTCAAATAAAACAAAAAACGACTCAAGAAAAAAAAAAAGTAAATAAATAATAAATAAATAAAATGCAATACAAATTTTGTGAGCAGTACACCTACACTATCTTATACCTGATAGCACTCACAGTACTTCTTGAGGCACATCGACTTCTTACACTTGCACCCTCTTTTGTGCCTAGCTGAGGAAGGCGTGAAGGGGGTCCCATCTTCCTACAAAACCACAACGTTTCAGTAAGTATATTGCTTATGGTTAACTAACCGAATGTTCGTGAACAAAAGCTCGATCGAGCTCGTTCGTTTGTTAATCGAGTAGAGTTCGAACAGAAAATTAGGCTCGTTTAATAATCGAAAGAACACGAGCTCGTTCGCGAATGTTCGATAATGTTCACAAACATTAGTTTATTATAATTTTATTTTATTTTTTATATATTTACATATATTATTAATTAAAAAATCTAAAATATAAAAAAAACAAAAAAAAAAATCGAGTTCGAACAAACAAATTTCGAGTTAATCAAACATATTTAAAATTTTCTGTCCTAAATTATTCGAACATGAACGAACTCGAACTTTGACAAACAATTAAACAAACGAGCTTTAACACGAATTTTTGCTCGAAAAATAAACGAACGGACGAGCTCGAACAGCCCAAGCTTGGCTAGTTTGATTCGATTAAAGGACTACTTATGGGCCCACTTGATCATAAGATTCTGAAGGCAACAATACCCTGTGAATGCTAGGAGGTTGTATGGTGACGCGTTGAACAACTCTAGGAGCAAATGCCAGGGGGTCTCGTGATTCGATCTTTTGCCGTGTCTCAATAACTGTGGCCTCGTGTTCAGGCGTGTTAAAGCAATCTTGGCATGCACAAGGTTCGGCACAATAGATCCCGGCAGCAAAGCAATCACAGTAACTGCAGATAAACATGTACAGAAATAGTGTGATGATGAATAGAAGCTCTGAGGGCTTAACTGATATAAATTGAACAATTTGTAGAAATAACTTACAGCTTCAAGCATTTACTCTTCTTACAGTTACAACGCTTGCAACCACCGCCTTCACCTGGGTCTGATAACTTTATCCTGGAAAGATTGCGAAAAAAATGATTCTTCTAGAAGCACAGCATAAATGTGGTAATTATATGGAATGGAGATTGAAGCAAGACAAACAGACTCGCCTTTTCTTTTGAGGGCTCGACTTGATGAACTCCGTAGATCCACCAGATTTTTCAGTACACTTCCTCTTCATACCTGGTGTTGACTGATCCTCTAATGAATTTGAGATGACAGAATCATTTGGAAGAATAATTCGACATTCATGCCTATTACCGTCAGTGGTAGCTGAAAGATTCTCCACTAGAGGTAACATTGAAGAATAATTCGAGCAATCAACTGGATGAGATTCGTTCACGTGCATGGATTTCTTCCCGACTATACTGAAATTACCCCACTGAGCTGATCTCAAACTTACTTTTGAACCAGAGCCAGCTTTCACAGCAGTGACTATGCTGTTCAGGTGCAAGCCAATACCTGAAGGCTTGGGAATTTTGATGGTAGAGTCTAAACTATTTCTAGGGCATAAAATGGGAGGGCCCACCTCATCAATGCTGTTGACGGGAGTTGATGATGTCTCTAAAGCTATTTGTCTTAACTCCTCAATGCCTAAAGTACTTTTAGTAGTCTGACTGGACATTACCTTGAGCTGAGCATCTTCAAACTGAAGACAACGCCTACGTACTCCCCGGTGTTGAAAAGCCTAAAATGTTTGGCAAAGCTTCAGATACAAAGAAGAAATTAAGCAAAATAGTGTAAAGTTAACAGATTTCCCAGTCATTTCTCAGAATGTATTCAGTTGAGATGGTAGACGAAAATTCAGTCCACAAGTCCAAATCAAGTCTAAGGTTCAGAAACAAACAAGAAGCAGGAGTAATTTGACATCCACAAAGAAATTACACATCACCAATAATAAATTCATCCAAAACAAATAAAGAGAATATACTGAGAGCAGTACTTGCATGTTTGGCAAAAGGTGTAAATTTATCATCTTTGAGGAGCTGATGGATCTGGAAGTTTTTATGAGAAACATGCAGTATTAGATTCTTGAAAATTAAGTCTCGAGAAACATCGGTACTTTACGTTTTACAAGAAAACAGAAGACATAAAAGCATCTGAAAAGGATCCCTAGCATTGTAGAACATATAAGTCAATTTCAATATATATACATGTAGCATAAATATTCAAACCTCACGGTCATCGTGCACTCTTATAAGAGCTGGTTCAGTCAAAACTGCTCCAGTAGCCTCCGCAAGAATTTCATCCTCTTCCCCTATTTCCACCGAACCTGAAAGAAAATGACATGATTGATCTGATTGATCAGCCAGCTCGGCCTCCACATTCTGCAATTTCAAGTTATTAGACACCAAAAAAAAAAACAATGTATATGAACATTTCAAATCGCAGAATGGATCATTATCAACCTCATCCATAATATCTTCTTCGGTCTGATTGGTCAAAGCATGGACTGCGATCAACTCATGTTCCATATCTTGACTGTGGTCACCAGAAACACCATGCACCCGATTTGTATCTTTTTCCATAGCATTAACATCAATTAATACATTTTCCTCAAGTACCTCTTCATTATGCCTTCTAATAACATCAGGACTAAGCACTATTTGTTCGCTTGTTCTTGAATTAGTTTCGCACACATGGTCTACGATATGTTCCTTTGCTCCTGTTCCAGCATCTGGTGGCTTATCAGTGCATTCAGTTTTTTCAGAAGTTGAATTATTCGAGAATTTCGGATCTTCAGATTCCCCCTCCACAATGTCAGCCAAGAACTGCTCCGGGCTTCCTGCAGAACTTTCGGTTGAGTCATTCTCAGGGCAATTGCTATCTGTGGCCTTTTCTAGCCTAGTGCTCAGCTGAATATTCAGCTTTCCGTATGCCTTGCCATCTTCAGCATGCCCGGCTAAAAGTGAAGAGGAGGCTCTAGGAAAATGTGCCCTGCTTTTACATTTACATAATCACATTAATAATGTAGATATGAAATTAAAGGTAATCAAAAAGGAAATATATATTTCACGCAACATGAAATAGAAACCTTTTAAGAAAAGCTGACCGCCTATGCAGATTAAGTTGCGGCGAAGTGAATACAAGAGGAGGAGAATTCAGCTCAGGGAAGCCTTGTGTAACTGGTGCAGCCCTCACTGTCTGTATGGGGGAAAGGTTGCTAAGAAAATTAAAAACAGGCGAATCCTGAGACCCAAAGGAAGCAGCATGTGAGCATTGAGGAATAAACCACGAAGAGAAAAATCATTTCTTTCAAGAGAAAAAAATAAAAAATAAAAAATCAGAAGACCCTCATTACTTGCGAGACGCAAAGCGTGTCAGTAACCAAAAAAAAAAAAAATTAAATGTTTTTGGTGCAACAGGAGTGCAATATGCAGAAAAAATAATGGTTAATTTAGCATCTTTAAACAAAAATCATGAACCAGCAGATAAGTTCCTATCCACCTTGTGGTTTCTACAGAATTCATGCATTTACTACCAAGAGAGGAAGTTCAGTAAGTGCATAGAATAAAATAAAAAGGACAAAACAGAAATGAAATTTGCAGCAACACCCCTTGAAAAAAAGTGGAAACATACTGTCCGTGTTAAAAAACAAAAGTCCGACTCTCCCTGCTCTCTACATTGCTTGGAATCCAGACACTACATATGACTTATACAGGAAATTTACTTCATCACCCAACCCAATATTCCAAAATGCTCGGCAAGCGACATCCATAAATCCCGCATGCTACCAAAGTTTCAAACAAAGAAATAATACAGCACACCATGTCACTTCCATTTCCTGCTAAAAGCCACAAAAGGTAACACAACTTCTAGCATATGCAAGCTGAAAATCCAGCTACCGACCCCAACAATTTTTTTTATTATTATTTTTAAGAGCAAAGGGCAAGCCCAAATTCATCCCACAAGAAACCAACTACAAGACTTCTCACATTAGAAAATAGTAATAACATTTCCGGTCCCTCTTTCAAGTTAAACTCGGATCACACCCCCATCTACACACAAACTAAACAAACCCAGAAAAAAAAAGGTTAGAAATTTCATACAAAAGATTCATCAAAACAACATTTGACATAAGCAGAGAATGTGTGCATGCTACCCCAAATTCATCTCACTAGAAACCAACTATGATCCCTCTCTCAATTCCTTTACACCTTGGGGATTATAACTATGATCCACAGACATCCCAAACAAAACCCAGTAAAATCCCAGAAAAAAAAAATCATACAAAAAAAAAAAAAACCAAAAACTAAATTCGGCAGAATCAAAAGAGTGTGCGCATGTACTTGAGCAGGCGCAGTTTCACAGTTGGTCGAGGTAAGCTTGGAAGACTCAGGAGAGTCCATCTTCGAAAACCCTAATTGTAATTGTAAAACCCCAATGTTCAGCCCTCCGCCATCTCTAACCTTCTTCTCCCTACCTATCTACCCTATGTCTCTAAAACTTTTCATTTTTCATTTTTAGTTTGGGGGTTTATTTTTCACTGTAAATGCGAATGTGTGTGTGTGTTTGCGTGTGTGAATGTGTAGTGTAGTAAAGATGTTGATACTATTGTTTTGGATAATGCTCTACTACTCACAGTAGACACACGTTAATATGTCCACCGCTTATGTGTCATGCACACATTGGTGATGTATTTTTTTAACATATTAACATCATCAATGTGTGCATAGCACGTAAGCAGTGGACATATTAACATGTGCCAATCGTGGGTAGGTGAGCATTACTCTTATTGTTTTGTTACAGTCTTATTTTTTTCGACTTTCTTTTATTGAGTGACCTTCAAGGGAGAAAGAATAGTGAAAGTTTTCAAATTGGCGGTTTGGGCGGGAAAATGGTGGTTTGTTCATGATGTTAGGCTGAGGCCCAATTAAATTGGGCTTTGCTCTCACCCAATATAAGCTCAATTTCTAAAATTGTAAATTGCAAATAGGTTAAAAAGTAAAGTTTAGAAGATGCTTGGGTACAAAACATATCAAAAAAATCTGGGGGCGCTTGTTTATGGATTTTTTCAACCAAAATATTTCATTTTGTTAACTATAGTTAAAGTTGAAAAAGTAATGTGGTTAATTGTTAGTGGAATTTAAAAAATATATTAAAATAATATTTAAAATAAAAATGATTAAAGTTGATTTGATATAAAGTAGGTGATAAATGATTGGAAATTATTGGTAGTTAAAATTATGTGAGTGGATGAATAGTGAATTAAAGTTGATGTGATGTGTAAGAATGATTGGTTTTTATTATTTAATTGTATGAATAATATTAAAGATAGTGGGGTTGAGTTAAAGTTGAGTTAAATATTTGAGTTGAAAAAATTGGATTGAAAAAATCCATAAACAAGCATGCCCACATTTTTAACTCAACTATTTTATTTTACTCAATTTTAATTCAATCTCACTGTCATCAATATTATCAATATAGTTAAATAATATCAATCAATCATTCGTACACACCACTTCAACTTTAATTAATATTCATACACTCACGTAATTTTAACTAACCACCACTTCGAATCTTCTTTTTCCTACTTTTGCGTCAACTCAAATTTAATCATTTTATTTTAAATAATATTTTAATATACCTACTAACAACTAACCCTACTCT